CTGAAGGTTATTGCATCCCCTGGGCAGGACAGAGCACGGAGGCTGCTACTGTGGCCACTGCGATGGGGACGGGCAGGACGCGTCCCAGGCACTCGGGGCACAGCAATGCCATGCAGCTCATGTCACACAGTGACCGCTGGCCCAGGCCCCTGTGCCCCCTACCCAGCCTCAGCACACCCCAAAGTGCCACCCTGTGCAAACCCTGAGCTGCAGCCCACCCAGTACAAAGAGGGGCAACATTTGGGCCTCAACAACTGCCCTGTGCCACAGGCAAAGGCGACAGTACCATCAGTACCACAGCCCCCGTGGGGGAGGGAACAGCCGGGCAAGCTTGGCACAGGATTCCCATGGGTGAGCAGTGCCCTGACTGCATGGGAAGGCATCATCCCACCCAGCCAGGCAGGCAGGCACAGCCCCTACCCAGGCTGGACTTGAAGGGGCGCCGGGTGTCTAAGCCGAGGTTGCCCAGGGGCACACGGTCTGACAGGGCAGCAGCGATGGAGTCGGGAGTGAAGGACATAGTCTGTGCGATATGCCGCACCCGGGCATTCACCGCAGTCAGGACATCCCCCGCGGCTGGTGGACCCCTCACCACGGCGCTGCGGTGCTTCCCGATGTACACGCTGACCCCCTGCAGACATGACCGGGCAGGGCAGCGAGAGACAGACGTGGCAGAACGTGCCCACTCCACCCATTCCAGGGCAGGGCCCAGCCCATGGGGACCCCAGGATGACGGGGCTGGGATTGCTGCAGGGACCCTTGCCCCAGCCCCTCAGGCTTGTCCCTGGGACAGGGATGGGGACAGAGCCTGTCCTGACAGTGAACAGCCAGGAGGGAAGGGGCAGAGAAACCCGCAAGGCAGACAAACAGCATCCCTGCCCTGCAGCGTTCAGGGAGGTCTTGCAGCTGCACCTAACCCAGGCTCGGCTGCTTCCCAAGCCGCAGCCACCCTTGGGCAGGGTCAGAAGCAAGGGGATCTCGCTGGACAAGCTCCCACCCACTGCAGTCACGCCAGGGGCGCCCACGAGCTGCTCCGGGGAGGGCAGCCCGTGATGGGACGCCAGGCACAGAGGGCCGATCCCGAGCAAGATGGGCAGCTAGACGGCGCTCCCAGCAGCAGGGGAGGCTGTACCTGTGGCAGGAGAGACGAGCCCTCTGGGATGATGTAGATGGTCAGTGAGCCCAGCGAGCCGCTCTGCAGGGGCAGGGGCCGGCGGGGAGCCCCTCTGCAGTGGCAGCAGCGCCGCGTCGGCCTCTGGAGAAGACGGGGGCATCAGTCACCCCGGTGCTGGTGAAGCCAAGGCAGGGCATCCCCACCACCAGCTCTTACGGGCAGAGACCTCCGCACTGCCCACACCCCAGAGTCCCCAGCTTCTCCCCTCCCTGGGGCCGCCCAGCCCTGCACGGCCCCTGCAGGTGGGGGAGAGGGAAGGGTAGCGTGCATCCCCCAGGGCCCTGGGGTAAAGAGCTGCATCCCTCCGCATACAGCAACTTCCCAGGCTGCCCCACTCGCCCCAGGGCACAGCCAGCCACCAGGACCATGCCCTGGGCTGCCCCGTCCCCACACCTTGCACTGTGCCCAGGGCCAAGGCTGCCTCCTCTTGGCCCGTGGCGCTCCGGTAAGCGGTCTCATAGCGGGTGGTGACGCTGGTCCTCACTGCGAGGAAGGGAGAGCGCGAGTGAGGCCACTGGACCCAGCCACGGGCTCCCCGGCCTCACCCCCACGCTGCGAGCCCCGCTGGCCAACAGTGCCAGCCCCAGCTCCTGGAGATGCCCCCGCGTGCGCGGCTCTGCGCGGCCTGGCTGCGAGGATCCCCCAGGCTGGGGGTGCCCAGGAGAGCGGGGGTCCGTCAGGAGTCCCTGCCCCTCTCCACCCAGTGCCTGCTCTCACCAGGGCTGCAGCGAGACCTGCTCCAGCCTTGGCACAGAGGCACGAAGCTCCCCCGAGCATGGCAGCAGCAACCTGCAGCACTCCAGAAAGCACCCGGTCGCTGGAAACCCAGGGCTTACGGTTCAGCGGGGTCTCCTCCTCCCGCGTATCAGCGAAGGGCAGCCGCCTCTGCTGGGCCGCGGGCAGGGAGCCCTTGGCGAAGACCACGGCGATGGGCACGGTCAGCTGGAACTGCGCAGAAGGCCGTTACCCGGGTCCGCCCGCGCCGGCGCCCCCGTC